GGGGGTATAAGTCAATAAGACTGGGCTTAGATATTTTGTATACATTCGCAAGAGCCAAGGAGTAGTGGAAATTACTTTCGATTTCCAGCCCTCCTGTCTAGGTAAATTGTGATGCCACAATTTAAATAGGGATATAAGAAGAGGAGCATGGACTAGGATGTAACTCGGTGGTAATGCACTTTCCTAGTACATGCCTGGCTCAGGCCTCCAACACCACAAGGAAAAGAAAATAGCAGATTTGTAGCATGAGAATAGATACCCCCGCCAACCACCAGTTTCTTTTTGAAACTGGGTATTGAACCCAGGGCACTTAACTACTGAGTCACAGTCCCAGGCSTTTATATTTTATTTTGAGGCAGTCTCACAAAGTTGCTCAGAGCATTGCTAAGTTGCTGAAGCTGGCTTTGAACTCATGATCTTCCTGCCTCAGTCTCCTGAGCCACTGGGATTATAGATGTGTGCCACTATGCTCAGGTGATAATCCAATTTTAAACATATTAAAGGTAACTTTAGGATATGAAAATGGAGATGGCTCATGTACAGTGTGTATATGAAGTACAGTTTGTTATGTATAGGAGAGGTTAGGGTTGAAGATAGTCATCARCGTGTGGATAGAAATTAAAACCAGTGAATATGAGATAGCTAAAGGGAGAACATGATAGAAAAGAAAATAGAATCAAAGGTAATATACCTTTTAACACCTAGACAGAATACCCAGGAAACCCCAGAGAAAGAAGAAACACTAAAGGTGGGTCAGAGAAGAATGGTATCACAGAAGACAAGGCAAGACAACTTCTTTATCGAGGGTCAGATGCCAGTGAAGATCTKTTAAGAGGAGAATTTTGAAATTTCTATTTGATTTAGCTTAAAAATGAGAACAATTTTAATGGAATGGTGAGGTAGGAACCACAGTAATTTGAGAATTGAATGATTGGCAAGAAAGTAGAAACAATAATTATGAATTGGGAAATTTAGATGAGTTTAGAAGGGGAAAAGTRTGAGATACTTAGACTGAGGTACAGAAAGTTTAAATTTTTTGTAATCTTTGGGAAAGGAACCAACAAGAGACAGGAATGATTGATAGATTGAGGTTCCTAAAAAGGCAAGAAGGGGCTGAGATAGAGCACAAATAGAGAAATTGTGTTAAATAGAATGTCACTTTGGTCCAGAGTGGAGGGATTGAGGTCAGGGTGGAAATAGGTATTATAATAAGATTAGAAAAATTAAAGGTGCTGATATCTGATGGCTTTCTCTAATTAGAAGGGAAAGAGATTGTTGGCTTTAGTTGAAATTAGAAACTTGAGAAGTTGAATAATTATATTGAATCAGAAATGATAAAACTGTTCAAGGACAAGTGAAAGGACTGACAAGTCTGGGAGTTGGAAACTATAATTATAGTATTTCTTTATTTGAAATACTTCGGATTAAACCTGGGACCTCACATATTCTAGCCACTAAATCCCTAGTCTTTTTAAATTTGATTTTGAGACAGAGTCTTGTGAAGTCATGATTCTGGACTCAAATTGGATCCTCCTGCCTCAGTCTTCCAGGTTGCTGGTATTACAGGCATGTGCCACCTTTCTGGAAACTGTAAATTTGGGGATGTAGTGGGTTTTTTTTTTTTTAATATTTATTTTTTTAGCTGGATACAATATCTTCATTTTATTTTTATGTGATGCTGAGGATCGAACCCAGGGTCTCACACATGCTAGGCGAGCACTATACCACTGAGCCACAACCCCAGCCCGGGATGTAATTTTTCATCTAACAATGTCAGTATCTTTTATGTTCCTAGTTCTTTTCTTCACTATTCACAAGGCAGAGTGTGGTACTTACTTCTGTCCTCCCATCTCTGTTCTGGTTTCAATATAGTCATTCTTGGCAGTAAATTTCAGGTGCACAGCCTTTGAAGGCTCACCTTTGAGATCTCCCTGAAAGTGCAAAAAGCATTTCAGAATTTTTCTGATCCATTTACATAGTCAATGGGAGAGTGTACTATGATCT